GGCGTATGCATGACGAGCTTGAAACTCGTCCTTCAGCGACGCTACGCCGTCGCTGGTAGACATCAACAATGCAATGATGCAAGTCACAATCTTGGCCATGACCATTCGTCACCGTGTTCTTCGTTTCCGGATCCGGATGCCTTGTCTTCCGTGAGCGCGGGAAACTTCAACAGCAATGGCTTCGTCAGAAGCTGTGCTTCGACGATGGGTCACAAAGTAGTGCTGCAGCCTTGCTGTTGTCCGCCGTCGGCCCGGACCGAGCGCAGTCACAAGTGCAGTGGCAACATCCAGTCCTCTCTCGCGCGTCTCGCTGGAATAAAACTGCAGAAACATGTTGGCCGTTTGGTCCGGTGTGGTGAATGAAAACGCTACTTATCGTCGATGCGACCGTTCCGATTGAGCGCGTCGTCCACGTGGTTGCGGAAGTTGGTCGTCATGACCAGGATGCGGCCGTCTTGGAACTCGAGTCCGTCAAGGGCATGGACGAGGCCAGAAAAGGTCAAGCCCGAGTTGTCCATTCGTCTCTCGTGAATGCAGTATCGATGTTTTCTAGTACGAGGACCGATCGAGGAAGGAGCTCGTTCAGAATACTCCGGAGGTATGTGTCGTAGAGGTTGGGATAGGTGATCGGAAGCGTGGAGATTTCAAAAGGTCGCGATGGCTTGGATGTGCGACGTCTTCCCCGAGCCTGGGACGCCGTGGAAGCGTTACCCTCCCCTTGCACGGGATGCCGTGCGTGGCGTAAATGGCTCTGCAGAGGTTCGTCAAAAAGTCTTCGACGTCGTCGATCATGCTTTCCTTCATCTGTCGCGACAGCACCTCCGAGTCCAGAGGACGCCGTTGAAAGGTCTGCACTTTTGTCCACGACCCGTCCGAGAAGCTCCATCGGTAGATGGAGAAAACCCCGTTTTTCGTCTCCTCTGCAGCTGCCACGACAGCATTGACAAGCGAGAGCAGCCACAAGCACAATGTTCGCGAAGCGAAATGGTTTTACTATGTGCCTACTGGCTTTCCAACCGACTGGCGTAGAAACTAGAGGGTGTGGTGCTGCCACGTAAGCGTGTGCAGTCCAAAGCCAGCCAAGATGGTGCTTGCGCCTTCCTCGTCGTCGTTGCGGTCGTCCGAGTTGGAACCATGGGTCTTCTTCTTGCCCGTTCGGACTTCAAACCTGCGATGGTCGCTCGCGCGGGCGAGTTGTTACATATGCCAGGATCAAGCGATAGCTCTTGTCCTTTGAGGACACCCGCAGGAAGGTCGAATTGGTGACGTCGACTCCTTTCAAAGCAGATGCGTTGAAGGGAAAGGCCCAGGGTCGTGGTTGCGCACATCATGGTGAATTCAATACTGCCGCGACGTCCTGGTGTTCCGATCGTGTTTGGGGCATGCAAGGGAGTTTGGTTGTCGTACTTCGAAGGTTGACACACCCTCTCGGGTACCAACGCAACCCGACGGCATCGACCAACACAACTCAACGAGCTCACCCTTCACCCACAACTTCCACTTGCGCGCCACGAGCTTCTCAGTACGGCCACCTCATGCGTCGTGAACAAGAACGATTTTTACCGCTAGGGCAACTCGTGGGACCTGGCAATGGCACGTTCTAGCCGTGCAGCCAGTGGCGGCGTCCATATCAGAACAACTATTCACAGATTCTGGATTCAATCTCCCCTTTTGAAGCCCACGCTTCCAGCACAGCCGCATCCGCCGAATCCAAACGACCGCCACCCTCCTCCGCAAGATCAGTCGCGGCTTGCGCAGCAAGTGAAGGTGGTTGTACATTCGACATGTCGAAATATAATACTCCCTCTGTCCCACGATAATTGCCGGGCAGTTGGCAAATTATCGTTCCTCTGAATTGGCACGCTCCTCTGAAATTGGCACTTTACGTTAGGGCGTGTTCAGGGCAAAGCACTTGTCAGCGCTTCTTCGAAACACCAAAATTGTCATGTGCGCATATGATTGTTTCGCGCGCTGCGCGAAACCCGCGCACGTCGCTATCGTTGCCATGGTGTGCCCCTTCAAGATCCACTGGATCGTACTTTACTACGATTTCGTACTTAACGGTACTGACATTGCCACTGGCCACGACACGGTTGAGTTGGCACCTTGGCAGGAGGATGCAACGAAGTAAGATTCGGCAGCAGCACAAGGCGCTGGCGGATGGTACCGAAAAGCCCAAGATCAAAAAGTTGACCAAAGAGAAAGTGGCCGAGGAGCATAGTAGCGCCATGGACCATTTGGACTTGGCGCATCGTGGCATCGAGTCCATCGAAACGACGGCGTTCGAGGCGGCGACCGCGCTCAAGCGGTTGGACTTGAGTGCGAACAAGTTGACGCGCCTCGCGTTCTCCCAAAACATGGCTCTGACGCAGCTCAAGGCCTCGTCCAACCTGCTCGTGGACGGCGGTATCGTCGACCTGTCCTATTGCAAATTGCTGGTTACGTTGGACTTGAGCGACAACAAGCTCGCGCGTCTTCCCGGTGCGAGTTTGCGCCATTGCACGGGCTTGAAAGCGCTTGTACGTCTCGTTTTGTGGTAGAAACACCATCCGTGTTGACGTGCATGGCGCGCAGGTCTTGACGAAGAACGCATTGACGTCGCTCGAGTGGGTGCCGAGCCTGCCTGGCCTCACGTCCTTGATTGTGAGCCACAATCGGATCACGGACATTTCAGCGAAAAGCATGGGAAAACTAAAAGGCTTGACCAAGTTGCAAATGTACGACTACCTCACGTATTGATGCCGCACTTTTGATCACAACGGCCTAGCTCGCACAACAAGCTGACGGAATTGCCCGACCTGACTGCCCTGGAGTACTTGACAGAGCTACGGGCGTCCCATAACCAGCTCACGGCTCTGCCCGCCACGATCCATCGCAACGGTACGTCTTGGTCGTTTGCTCGGCAGGGTAGACAGAAAGCACACTCGTCGTCCCTTGGCCGAATCGGGAGTAAAGTTGACGGGAATGATGCGCCATTCGTAGAAAACCTGAAGATCGTGGACGTGTGCCACAATAACATTGACACATTCGACGGGCTAGACCAGTGGTCGTCGCTGCAACAACTCAAGCAACTCAACCTGCGTGGCAATCCCTTATGTGGCCGCGACGCAAACGCCTCCCACCAAGGCGCCGACAGTGACCCGTTGCCCGCAGTCAGCTTGGATGGTACGAAGCACAGCAAACGCCTGCGTCGTCGACACCGAACGACGTTGATTCAGTTCGACTGGAATGCCAACGTAGAGCGCAAGGCGCTGGACAAGAAGAACAAGTTGTACAACTTCAAAATGAAGCGACTGTTTCCAGCGCTCATTGTCCGTGATGGCCACCGCGTCCAAGAGAAGCGCACGCACGGGTACGCTCAGGGTGGTCCGGTACATTTACACTATGTGAGATGTTTCCGCGATAGGTATGTGGCCCCCCCACCCGTGCCCAAAGCCCCCAAGCCAGTTAGGAAGAGCGCAATCACGGGCGCCCGGACGACTGAGCAACCTGACAAGATCGCTTCGAAGAAGCGGCGAAAGGAAGCTCGGCGCGAAGCGTCGAGTGACGCAGAGGCGGCGGTGGACGACCATCCCACCACGCTCAAGGGCGCACACAATGATGGCGATGACAAGACAAATCCTTCCAGCGCTGGCAAGCAATCCAAAAAAGCTGACAAACGACGTGCGGCAGCTCCGGACCAAGACATTGTGGTGGCCCCTGAAGCAAAGCGGTCCAAGAAAAACAAGGAGCCTGCTTCGAATGCCAGCGTTCAGAAATGCACGGGGGAAGAGGAGCAGCCAAAGACATTGAAGCCATCGAAGGTCAGCAAGGCGCTCGACGCTGTGGCTGCGGATGACACGGCTGCCAAGAAGGAAAAAGGCCGTAAGAAGAAGGAGAAATACGTACGCCATTGCTATAAAGTTCTGAGGTCGAGCGGATGACTCACGAGGGATGCATTGATGTCATGTAGGCCAAGGACAGCGGTGTGTTGGGCGTCGTGCACGTCAAGAAGCCTTCAAAAAGCGCTGTGGTGGCCACGTTGGGGACTTTGGTGGACTTTTCACAGCTCGATTCCACCGGCGGTATTGGGCTCGGTGGCGAGTCCAGCTGGGACTAGACTCTAATGGAAGAAGCCTCTCGCACAGTGAGTTGCGTTTGCATTGGGCAGAGCCGTGCGACGAGCTTCCAGCATAACGCGACGAATTTGTGTGAGTAGCTGGAGGAGATGGCGAACTCATGAGCAGTGGCATTGGCAGCAGTATCTTCTGGGGGCATGGAGCAGAGTGCCACGAGTAGTGGCAAGCTCTCATCGCTCCAAGGCAACCTGTGTGGCCTGGAGAAAACCTTCCTCCTCACAATGCGGGGCCGCTCACTGTGCCGTGCAAGTGCTCAGCAGTAGCAGCACACTCCACGTGGCCACAACGACAGATATCAACACGTTCACAGACCCAACTCAAGAGCTGTGCCCTGCATCGTCTTCGAGGTCACAAGCTCAGTTGCAGCCATGTGCGCCGGGAGAGCCGCGCCCGCACATGGCCGACCTCTGGCAATGGATGCGCATCCTCTATTTTTAGCAACTCGATTCCAGGAATAAAAGTAGTGTCCTTGGAATACAAACCGTCCGTGAGTTGATCTGTCATTTATTAAAGTGAACTAAAAATACCTGTGTAAACGAATGCGGTCGTGAGATTTGAGTTGTATGAAGGTGGCACGGGTGCGTCCGAGGATGTTTCGACCCAAGTGGGGCGGCGTCCAGGCGAAGGTTCATGCGGACGTTTGCGTCGAACGTCATAAAGATGATCCGTCGGCCTCCACGAGCTACACCCTTGTGGAAGATGACAACAACGTCGCGACTCCGGCGTTGCAGAGGGGCGACAGCGTCATTCCCGAATCCAAGTCGTTCCGAATCGTGCCGCTCATGCAAGACACCAACCGCGTGGTTCCTCTCATGCCCATGCTGTTGCCAGTGAATGAGAGTCAACAGCACCGTCGACACTCGGACTTTTCGACGAAACCCTCGGAACCAGGCGCTGCCCCGCCGTCTGCCGTCGCCCCACCCAGTCCCGACAACACCCTGCTTGTGCCTTTGAAAGTCAAAACTTCAAGACGCGAGCAGTTGCGAGTCTTCGCACCACCGGAAACCACACAGTCTAGTGCTTCCAGGTCGACCCCACTGTGGCCATCCCAACTAGAAGCACCATCCTCGTCCCTCGTGATCGCGTATAAGCCGCTGAATCGATGCATTTAGGTCGGGATGCTCCATGTTCATGGCCAGTGCTGTGCGCATTTTCGTTCATTTGCCCTCTGGACCAAGGATGCCCATCACGTCAGCACGATTGGGGTATCCTGTTATGGCATCCGCGCATGCCACGTCCGCGCATGCACCTAGTTCCGACGACCCGATGGGTGAGAATGGTTTGGCGGCAACATGCAAGAAAAGAGTCTGGGCTAGCGCCGCCTGCAACCACCACGTGAGCTCGAGGTTGGTCCATGTATCTGAGGGCAGCACAGGAGCTAGCGTGCGATTCCGACTCGCTACATTCGTCATGGCTGCGCCGTCATTCGAGTAACTTTCGCCCAGGTGGCACTCGCCTGCGCACGACCACCCCAACCCACGCGGTAAAGTCAGTCGCAGATCCACAGACACCGCATTTTGTGGGAAACATGGCTCCCAGAGTCATGTACGCCCGTCCAGAAACGGGCGCCGCTCCCTCCGATGTCGTTCACCGTGTCAACAATCCGCCGCAGGCAGTTGGGCTTGACCCTCCTCGCGTGTGCAGCACGATGCAGCATCCGCCTCCACCAACGCAGCCTTCGAGATCACGAGCTTGCTCCGCCAGGCCTCTCAAGCAGGCTGTACCGTAGCTCATGGCACAACGCGCATGGACATGCCTACATGGGCACATCGATACTCTTTGCTGCATGACAACGCGTCCGTCGAGGAAAGAACGAGTGCATCCCGAGCTTTGTATTGACGAACATCGACGCTTGGTCAGTCGAATCGAAACCAAGACAGCGTTTGCCGATGGGCGACAACAAGTCCCGCTTCTTCCGTCAACAACGTGTCGGCTTCGTAGCCGAGGTCGCCTCGACTCTTGACAGCATGACTTTTCATATCGTACACCAAGAGAGCACCATCCACGCCGACAACGACATGGTCATCGCCGAGAAACTCGACGGGAAACAGTCGCTTCATCTCTCGAGTCGAGTACGTTGCCACCGGCGAGGCCGGGCGACGAGTGTCCCAGACCATCACGTTTCCGTCAAACCCCGTCGAGACGAGTGTGTGCACGCAGTGAGGAGCCCACCGAACACTACAGCAAGATCCACGTCGCCCACTAACACGACGAGAACGCACGCGGTACCTATTTGCCGCGCGTGTGTGGCCCATCAGCGCTACCTCGGCAGCATTCGTGGACGCGTGGCGGCGGCTGTCATGGATGAGGACTGCCATGTCGTTCCCGCAGCTGGCTAAGAGGGCAGGGTGGCCGGGCGAGAACCGAACACACTTGACGACGCCGCCATGACGATGATACGTGCGAACTCTACACGTGGCGCCATGCCGTGTGTTGATCAAGACAATGCCACCCGACGCGACCGAAATGGCATTCCACAGCATGACGTACAATTGAACGCAAGACGATGTGGCGGTGGACAGCGCGACCGTCCAATCTTTCGACCCCGTCGCGATCATGGCATCGGCGGATTGTTGCGCGTCCACACTGAAAATGCCCGCACCATGCAAACTGGACGACGCAGTCACGAGTGTCAGCGCCTACAACACACAGTGTTTGTGAGCTAGCGATGCCTCGACCACCAGAAATGTGGCAGCCGGCATGCCCCTGCTGATTTGAAGTTCCAAGCACTTTGACAAGGCGTGGTGGGGACTTGCCGATGGTGTTGGAGGCGACGCATGGACTGCCCACAGCTTGACCACTCCGTCGTTGGCAGCTGTGAGCAAACGGCAGCGTTCGGGAGTGCTCAGATGAAAATTCACTCCGCTGCACCACCCCTGGTGGGCTCGAAATGACAGCAACGACGACGACCTATGGCCCACTGCATGACCAAGCACACCACAACGGGACCGTACTGGTACAGCACATCTCGAGCGTACAGCGATATGTAGCCATTGTGGCCACCAGCAGCTATCAATGGCCCACACGATGCCATCGAGTAAATCTACCAATAATGTCCACGTGTTCGACCATCATCCACACGTCAATGAAACGCAGCATTCTTACCCGCTTCAGCTGCGGGTCGGCACGATCATGTCCTGAAGTGGTCGTAAGTCGAAGTGTGGCGCAGGACAGAGCTGTGGCCTTGCTCGACGACGAAGGCGATGATGGCGATGCACTGCTTCGTTCACAGAGATACTGAAACAAAGCACATGTGTCGGTTGGAACTGAAAGATCTTGTCGAGGTGGCGTCGCCACATCCGGCACGGTGTCGTTGATGGTGGCCGTGGAAGACATGGACGGTGTCTGCCGAGTGGAACGACGTAGGACTGGCGGGACCTGCGGCTTCCTCCGAGGTCGCGCATTTCTGGTCGCGCCGGCTCTTTGGCGTGGAAGGGACAGAGTTGGGCGGTCGATGCCGAGAGATGCCAAGAAGGCTGCGTTTTGTTGCATTTTCTCGAGGCGCTGGCGTTCGTATTCGGAGAGAGAGGTGTCTACTTTGACTTTTTTGGATGCGGACGCGTTCGGTTCCCATGATGCTGTGGACACGTTCTCAGTTGCCTCTATCGGTCGAGATGGAGAACCGTTGGGTGAATCAAGGTGCCGAGGTACTGGCGACGACTTGGGTTCGGGAATGTCGTTGCGACTGAATTGGCAACCCGCGGCTTGGACGGGAGATTCTTCCGCAGAAGGTGGCACTGCTTGGACGTTGGACGCACTTTCGAATTCCTCATCCATTGCGTTTGGACTAGCTTGGTCTTTCATACCCGGTTCCAGCTGTGGCAATGAGCCTTCCCTTGCAAACGGTGTGGGCGGCCCATCGTTGCCACACGACAGGCTGGATTCGACTTTCGACGGCAACGACTCCTCACCTTGACCGAGTAGCGGGTGCTGCCCTTGGACAGTCAAGTATTGTAGCAAACTGCCTGCCTTCATCCCCGTCGCCACCGGTGGTCTCCGCCGCTGCCTCGACATATTCTCCGCCTTCCCGCCAAATATCGGCGTCAATCTATGGATATCCGGACGACCGCCGCCAACTATCCGGTCTTCACAATGTCTTGAGAAGCCGGACGCTCACATGCAGCTCTTCCGCACGTCCTCTGCTTCAGCAAGACGCTTGCGCGAGAACGTGGCGGCAGGTTGTGGACTTAAGTGCGTGCATTGGTAGGGGGGGCGGAATGTAAGCCAGTGTTTGTTACGTCGGAAGGACGCATCCTCAGCGAGAATTTGGGAGGAGATTGGGGCTCATCAGAGACCCGACTTGGTCTACCGTTCAAACGGGATCGACGTGTTGTCGTGGAGGGACTGCCACCATATGCACGTTCCAAACCCCGCCACGGCCCAGTGCTGGCAACTCTGGAAAACGTTCCAAAGTTGCTCTACATGCCACACAAGCAACGTACAGATAGATGGGCATCTCCAGTCGAGCGTGTTATCAATCGTTGTCGCGACTCCCATTGACGGTGCACAGGTGTGCTATGTTTATCGTGGCCTTTGAAAGGGACAAAGCTGGCGAACCCAACCACTCAATATGAACGAAAACAAACCCGTGTAGTAGCCCAGGAAAGGACGTGGTCCCCGCGCGGCCGCATGTGGCCGGCCCCTGTACGAGACGATGTGCGCGCCAGAGAGCGCCGTCGCCCTCCACCTACAAAGTCCATGCGTGTTGCGAAATTGCTGTTTTTGCATGCTCCCTATGTTGTAACGACGTGGACAACGCATAGTGAACACAAGGTACTTTCGTCGGTGACCAGACTCCACGACCAATCTTCAAGGGTCATGATATCATGTGGACTGTCGTCGTCGTCGAGGGCACACCCAGCTGCCTTCTTACGGGAGTTGTTCAAATCCTTGAAACGATGCATCAACCCGCCATGTAAATCAAAATAGCAGCAGCATGATATCATGGTGCATCTAGTCGTCACTCGCCATGTGGATGCCGGATGTCTGAGATGGTCCGGCAGAGCCTGCCCGGGCTTCTACCTTCATACGTATACCATGCAGTCGTCCTTCATGGAGGTCTCTTTACGTCGATGCTTGAAGCAGCGTATCTGTCGCATACATCTAATGTCGCGATCGCCCCGCGCTGCGTCGTGTGGTCGGTGAATTTGAGCCGGTTTTGACGAGGTTGATGGATATGGTAGAGACTTGGCTTATCCGGATAATCCAGTGGAATTATCCGACACCCTCGTGCCACAGGGCACGCGATCTAATCTGACATTCGCCATGGAATCCCCAAGTGCCGCCGCGTTGCGATGGATTGAATCGAAAACGAAGCAGTCGCCGCCGACACCGGACACGACGCTTTGCGAGTACCTGCGCGACGGTCGAGTGCTGTGCATGCTCGCGAATGCACTGAGTGAGACGAATGAAGTCCGAGTGCGATCACCAGACAGGTTTCGCACGTACCATGCGCTCGAAAGCGTGTCACTGTTTCTTCGGTGGGCGAGGGACCGTGCGTCCATCGGGGACAATGTCATGTTCACTTCTGCACAACTGATTGACGAACAGGACGAAGATGCCGTGCTGGCATGTCTCCGTGCGTTGGAAGCCAAATTCCGATTCCAGACGGTTGCCGTGCTGCCCACGGCTGACGCCGTTGCTTCCTCCCAGAAATCATCGACCCCTGCTCTCACCCCATCCGTCGTCGAAGTGACAGTGGAGTCGTCCAAGTCTACGTCGTCGACTACTTGCACAGCGGTCCTCACTCTGCCACCCGCAGAAGAGACTCGAGTGAACGTAGTGGAACGCATCCAGCAGATGCATCGGTCAGGCGTGGAGTCCGTACGAACATCTCCTCGTCGACGCCAAGTGCCGTCCCCCAAACAAACCAGCCCGCCTCCATGTGCACCACCTTCACGGGTCGACCCGCCTCCTTCCGTGCCATCGCCTCTCGCTCCGCCGAGTCCACGATCGCTAGTCAATCCTGCGACAACCGCATGTTCAAGTTCTCCAAACCCTCGGCCGTTGACCAAGTCCACGTCGAAACTAGCACTTTTCCTGTCGTCTACTCCGGCGACTCCAGCTACTATTATCAAAGCTCCTCCACAGCCGCCGTCCCGTCTCGCCTCTTTGAGCTCTGCGTCGGATGTTGCTGTGGAAGTCAACTCGATCGAGCCACCGCCACATTCTTCGACAACGGTGGCACCGGCTGCGGACCGCAGCTCTCCCACAAACACCACAGCGTCCGCGCCAATCGTGGCAACCGAGGCGCCGTTGGAGTCTACAAAACTCTCGCCGTCCCCGCCGCGTCAACGAAACAAAATCGCGTCGGCCTACTTAGCTGCCATCGAAAGCAACTCGTCATCAGCGATGCCGCCAACGCCAGAGCGTGCTTTGTCACCCAAGAGACTCTTGTCGCCAGTCCCGACGGCGACATGGCCAGTACCGCCAAAAGGCCAAGCTTTCACTTCACCAAACCCAGTCCACGTTCCTCCCTCGCCGGTCAAAGTTGAGCCAGTCGCGACAGTAGATACCGCACAGGTGCTCGGCGAGGCCACACGAGGCGGCCGAGAATTTGAACCCCTCACGACCACCGACGCAACGACGACCCCCTCAGCCGCCATCGTGGTGACGATCCCGAGTTTGAGTGCTGGCGGTTTTGAATTCGCTTGGTCACGCGAGCGCGAGTCGGTGGTCTTGTTGCTGCACCAGCAACCGATGTGGCCGCATTGGACCCTATCGTCGATCAACGGAGTGCTGCTATCGACGCATGGACGGTCGTCGTTGGCCGAGTCGCGCCGCGTGTTTCGAGAATTGTCGGCGCCGTTTGAATGCCGATTCGAGTCGTGGCGATAACGACTAGGTCGAATAATGCAATGTCATGTGTGTGTGTGTGTGCACCGACCGAAGTGGAAACGTGTGGCGTATTTGTTAAATCGACTCGGTTTGGTAGCGTGCGAGGCTGCGCCGCAGCACCAACGCACCTGCCAGCGCTACCGCCACACAGCACGACATCATGATGGCCAAAATCCCGACAAGATGCAAGCTTGCCCCGACAAACGCCTGGACGTCCGCAACGTTCCACTCGGGGCACTTGCCACAAGGCACGACCTGTCGCACACAGGTATTCGTCAACAAGTCGACGTGTCGCCATCAGCTTACGTCAAACGCCGTGGATGATGCAGGGTTCGCAACCAACGTTTTGGCCACGTCGCACGGGGTTTGGAACGAATCGTCTTGACGGACGACAGCATTGCAATCGGTGGCCCACCGACCTTGAAAACGCACGTTAGCTGGCGTCGACGCCAGAGTTGGCGGTTTGCTAACCTGGCGATGCCTCGTACACCCCTGGACAAGGGAGCATGGTGGTGCAGTTGGAGCACCCGTAAAGATGCCCAGAGCACGCCACGTCCCCCGCCCCCACGGCCTCCGTCCACGAATTCACGTGCGATGTAGCGTAGTAGAACGCGCTCGTAGCTCCCACACACAGGACGATCAGCGTCCATGCCAGCCCTGCCGCGTACTAGAACGAAGATGAGTGAAATCGGAGCCGCCCAAATTCGTGAAATGATGAACAACCGTACTGCGCTCAAAAACCATGTCAACCACGGCATGAGGGCATCCTTGCGTGGTCGATATGTATCCAGACGAACGAGGAGGTAGCGTACCACTAGTAGCAGCGATCGGCTCTTGATTCGGGAGCCAGCAAACCCAAACAGCGCGAGCACAAACATCGCGATGCCGACGCCAACGAGCAGCCAAGCTACGTTTGAATGCTGTGAAACGAATCGAAATGGCTGCACACGCACCGAGCCAGTCCCAACCACCGTCGAGCGCGTCATACCCCTTGGCGTGCAGCCCGTACACAATGGCCACTGAAGCAAATCGTGAGCGGCCGAGTGCCGTGAATCGACTGTGGAATTTCCATGCCATGCCCACCTGTGGCTGCAACGATGAACATTGCGTTTACAACGCTGAGCATGTGGCGCATCACGACTGGCACTGACGCGATCTTGACAATGCAGACGAGAGTCATGACGAGGCTGGCGATGCCTGCAGCGCCCAACACACCAAGCATCGAGTACCGCGTCGATACGAACCTACGCGATGGACGTGTGAGAGTGCATGGTGTACCTGTCGGCTCATACGCGCGTGCATTGTCAAAGGTGCGGCAGCATGGACGATGACGGAGAGGCAGTGTCGACCAGTGGAGCTTCAGCCACGTTACAATCGAGGACGGCGCGACAAGGGCCATGTACGTGAACACGAGGAACACGACGGACACAAGTAACGTTGCGTAGAAGTAGATCATGAGAAACTGCAACCGCTCCTTGGTCGCCAACACGCCGCAGAAGCCAACCATGCTCACTGCAACGTACACGATCCCACACGTTGCCAGCATCACTGCCGTCACAGACGACGACGACTCGGCTGTCGACGACATGGAAGACGCTACGACAATGCCAAAGTACGCAATAGCGCAGCCCACGAGCATGCTCATGACGGTCACAACTTGCACGACGCGGCGGCACGTGCGGACTGTCATGATGGGGCTGCCCATTTTGGATGGGACACGTTCTGAAATAAAGTTCGTCCATGATTTCGTGGAAAATCTCGAATTGTTCGTTCTATTTTTGGGAAATTTGACCACAGCGTCCACAGTTCTCGATGCTGATTGGTGTAATTTCCACGCAATTTGGCGTCAATTTGCAAAAAATTGGGGAATATACCATCACCCACTTGAAGTTCTTGGTCGCTACCAGAGGGACAAGCGGTCTGGTAAACGCCACCAAGGCGGCAGCGCTTCGATGGCTGGAGCTAGCTCCAGCCATCGATACGACAGCGCCGTGACAGGCTCTCGTGGCTTGCGCAGCCACGCCGCGCATCGTTCCACTTCTCGAAGATATTTGAAGGAACGTGTAACGCCCGCAGCCGAGGACGCGTCGGTTTTGTAACTTTGCACGACACCGTGTGTGTGTGTTGAGGTGGTTCCGTCGGCCGTCGGCGCGTCGGGCGATACACGTAGCGGTTCTTGCGTGTTGGTAGCAGCTCACGGGGACAACCCTGGACCATGGGAGGGGGCATCTCGACGAACGGCGACTTGTCGCAAATGATCGCGTGCACGATGTTGATTGGCGAGGCCATGTTCCAAGGCCTGGATCCGCGCTACGTCCGGTTTCCAGACATGTACCGCCTCTATGACTTTCACGTGGGCAAGACCAAGTTTCGAACGTACAAACCTGGAGGTAGCATGATGCGGCCACCGACTTGCATGTTGACGGCGTGCCGTACGTAGGCGCGACGTACGTCGTATTCAACGCAGACGGGTCGTCTGGGGTGATCGATCGCGTAACGGGTGCGCCGCCGCCCGAAGTCGACGACTCGCCTCGCGACGACATTGACGAAGACGACAAGTCCAAGTACTTGGTGGTACACTTTGGCGACGACCGCATCGTCGTCGATCTTGCCATGATCAACACCCCCAACAAAGATGGGTGGACACCGCTGCATGCGAGTTGCCACACGCTCAATGCAGTCGACGCCGGCAAGGCCATTTTGAAAGCCGTCCTGGCGCAGGACCCGTCCGCCGACCTCAACATCAAGACGAGTCGAGGGCCCGGATCGTTCTCGAGCGGCTACACCCCGCTCCACATTGCATGTACGGCATCGTCGATCGTCGATTGTTTGGAACTTGACATGTTCCTTTGCCACATTAGGTGCATATGGGATGGAAGCGTTGGTGGTCAAGCTGATCCAGGCGAAAGCGGATGTGCATGTCACCAACTCGGTGCAGTGGACTCCGCTCCACGAAGCTTGCCATCGGGGCTACACGTCCATCGTAAAAGAGCTCTTGCATGCAGGTACGACGTTGTCACCATCGTCATTATTGTCGTCGTCATGTCATGGGGGGAGTGCTGTCCAGGGGCCAAGCACGACGGAGTTTGTCCGGAATTCGCGCTCTGTCCGTTCCCCGGGCAAACGCCGCTGGGGGAAGCTGCCCGCCAAGGCCACCTCGATACGCTCAAAGTAACACTTTGGATGCTGGAATCGTACTGTCCCTGGAGCTCACGACGACGGTAGCTGCTGTTGGATCACGGGGCCGATAAAAACGGGGTCAACGCGCTCAACTGGACGGCACTGCACGAAGCGGCATACCATAACCGCAGCGACGTCGTACAGATGCTCGTCGTGTACGGCGCAGACGTTCGGATGAAGACGAATCGAGGGGCCATGGCAAGCGAGTTGACCATTTCGTCCGAGATCAAAACGATGCTGGAAGACATGGCGAGTCATGAGGTCGACGCTGCCGTGCGCAACGAGAACGGCAACAACAACGCAGCCAGTCATGGTGGCAACAGCCCAGGCAAGGCCAGCGCTTCCAAGACGAGTCCGTCCAAAGAACGGGTCGACGTCAAAGCTCCGGACGGCCCACTCAGTCGCAAAGAAGAGTTTGCCCTCCTCGGCGACTTGCCGTCGCTGCAGCGGCTCCACGTTCCTGCTAAAGCCGATCAAGTGCATGGTTGCAAAACGGAGGGCAAAGCGCACAAGAAAAAGTCCAAGCGCAAGCAGTCCAAGGACGAAGCGGTCCCGGCAGAATTCCAGTGCGCCATTACGCACAAGTTGCTCGTCGATCCAGTCAAGTCACCGTACGGCCACGTGTTTGAGCGCCACGTGATTGAAAAGTGGATCCAAGATTATGGCCATCGTTGTCCGATCACGGGAGAACCGTTGGGGCACGGTCAACTCACCCCCGACGCCCATCTCAAGCAAGAAATTGCGGCATGGAACGCGCCAGTGTCGATTTCGGCCACGACAGCCGGCAGTCCACCCAAGAAGCAGGAAGAAGTCAAGGTCGTGGCAAGTTCCGCCGTCGAATCGAAACTAGACGCCAAGGATCCCGACGAAGATGACATGTACTCGTTCTAAAAGCAGCGACCATCGCATCGATAAAAAAGCCCATCTCCATGACCAGGCGTTGCCCATTGTGTTGTGGCCATGTCCAGCGCACTCGTTCACTCCACAACAGGTGCTATATCCTCCCGCGATGGGCTCGCTTGGATGGATCGCAAGCACTGCCACACAGGGTACGCACATCGCCCTGGAGTGTGTTCGTGTTGCTAGTTGTACCCATTTTGACTCGACGAACTGTGTCAACGACGAAAGGACGTGGAGAGCATGGCCGACCCGTGAACTCGCCTCAATACAAGCATGCGCTCCCATACGATAAAGAGCGACGCCATGCGTCGGCTACGCACACATGCCTTCGGGTGGTTGACGGGTCATGCACCCGACCAACGGGCCAACTGGAACACAAGCAAGTTCGCGACCAAAGGACATGTACGATACATAGCTTTGAACGTCGGCCTTGTTGATGGCAACTGCGTCTGGCGTCAAAAAGGCCACAACGCTGCATCGTGTGTCGCATAGCTTGAGGACGTCGATCTAGGACAGCACTCGAACTCGCTCGTGTGGTCGAACGGTGAAAACAAGTTGATTGCCAGCGACGACGAGTCGAGGAATGGCAGGGATCCCCTCCCCACGCGAGAGCGACATGGCACCAGCCCACGCGACGTCACGGTTTTTTCTCATCGTACCAGGAGGGAACGACAGCGCCACGTCATTGTGTGGCACTGGTGAAAACGATCACGTGATGAGTAGGCCTTGTTGTGTCGGTCGAGGCCGCATGAAACAGTGATACGGCCGGCATTCACGATTGTTTTACGTGCGTACGGCTCAACAAAAGCTCACCTGAATGCCCTCCTCGACGGTAGCTTCAGAGCCGACCTGGTCTTTGTACTCAGGCGCAACCCTGACGTGTCTGTATCCAGGACGAAGCATCAGCGTTCGTAGTGGCCTGGTAGTTGGTCTGGTTTGTGGTAAACGTAAGTGCCATCGAGTGGAAGACGGAGGCGGGTTCCACGTCGCTGTCGCAGCACTGGCGTGCTGCATGGCTCCTCCGATGGAGAAGCGTGACCAAATTGCGATGCGTGCAGTATCTGTTTAATACTGGCATCCCTTCAAGATCGCGGCGTTTCGTATCCGGATGACGTCCTCGTCCGGATTGGACGTTCGGTGCAACATTTTCGATCTTTCGGACAACATGCAGCGGTGCAAGGAGCTGGACCAGCTCCGCGACTCGATCCATGCACTTCTGAAAGGCGAAGGTGACAACAATCAAGGAGAGCTGAGCTCGTTGCACGCTGGCACTTCTGTGTGTGCAGCGGTCGAGGCGTGTTTGTCGCATGGCCTGAAGCGCGTCTCCGCAACGGAGACTGTCAGTTTATGGGGACTGCTGCAATGGACAAACGTATCGCAGCTGGAGCGCCATCGCGCGTGGAAGCTTCGCCAGGAGAAACTAGAAGCGAAGGAGCAGTCCAAAGACTGGTACCTCAACATGTTCAAGGAAGAGCTCCAGCAAATCTCGACACTCACAGTTCACACCGACAACCCAGTGGCAAACGACGCGGATGTGAACCCACTCACCCCCGGGTTCCACGCATCCATTCGCATTGTGAATTCGCTCTTGCATGTGTCAACCCCCCACGGCCGTGTTCGAGCTTGGATTCGCCACTGCTGCAATACGCATCTCCTCAGCTCGTGCCTGGCGGGTACGTACATATTCGTCTACGTGCCGTCGCTTGGATCTTTGAATGATCGCTGGTCGTGCAGCTGTAATGCACCCACAGAACCAAGCAGCATTGCGAACGTACTTTACGCCTGGCGCGCTGTGTTGCGATGCCGACATGCGGGAGGTACTAGTTGGGCTCACATCGACGTTGGACCGCCTCCAGTTTGGATTTTGCATCGATGTACGTGCCATACGCATTGTCTTGCGAAAAATGGAATGCTGTTCTTGACGCTTTTCACCTCGTTTCACAGAGCCCCGACTGGGATCGTGGCAATGCGAGTGAAATTCCCGTCGGCCCGCTTCCACAACAATCGCAGACACCGCCAAAGCCTTGCTTCATCACGAATGCCCATCCATCACCATCTCTCGACGCCACGGCGGATAGTGGTCTGTTCTCCGAGGCGACTTGCCCTTCCGACGCGACCAATCTTCTCCATGATGTGCTCGACACAACCACGCAAGCCCTCCACCAACTCCTTCGTGACACCCCTCCAGCTATCCTGACCGCTCGCACGGACGAAGTAGGTGGACCAGCCGCGATGACCATTTTCGGGGTGCCGTTGGCCGCGTTGGTGTCGTCCCCGGCAACGTGTGACGTGGCGCTCTTGGATTGCATGATGGGTGTGCCCAACCTGGTGGAAGGGTGCTGCCGCCTCATTGACGCCGCCGCCACGACTTGTACTCCAGGTACGATTCGACCACCGCGCCTGCTTTTCTTCTCACTACCTGGTGTGCTCCTGCCTAGCGCTGTTTGCGTCGAAAGTGCATAAAGCACGATTTGCGCAACTGATTGCCCAAGTCGAGCGGACGGGAACACTGAGCGTGTGGACGAATGTCCACCACAGCATTGTTATCTTGATCAAGTGGTTGCGCGACCTCCCCGAGCCTCTCATTCCGCCGCACCTGCACGCCCATTGCATGGCGGTCGTGGATATGCCAGGCGACGCGCTTCCAATCATGGAACTCCGCAACGTTGTGCACCAGCTGCACTGGAGCGCCAAGCCAACGCTGCTGCGGCTCTGTGCAACACTGACTCGAGTCGTACAATGTAAACTGGTGTCGGCTATTCATCCAATTTGAATTTGGTTGGCTTGTAGCGAAAGCGGGTACGACGGTGGAAGGACTGAGTGGCATTTTCGGCCGCATCCTCTTTGAACCGACAACGTGTTTCACGGCGCTATCGGTACGGCCATCTTGAGCGCCGACATCGGCAAGCGTCCATGACGTTTGTTTCGACGCACAGCTTGATCGTCTGCCTGTAGGCGCAAGCCAAGGTCGTGCAGCTCTTGCTCACGCATTCGACTCAAGTACTGGAACCGATATCACGCGAGGTTGTGGCTCGGCGGCAGGTAAAAAACTCCATTGTCCGTGTACATGGGTTGATGATGCGGGGGTGCATGCGCTCCAGGCATTAACGAGAAAGCTGCGAGCGATTCAAGCGATTTCACATGACTTGCACGAGCCGCTCGCTCCGATTACCACGCACGCGGCGTTGTGGGCGTCGCTCCAGCGATCGTACCCTGCCGTGACCTCACCCGACCACTTGCGCGGCGGAGGCGTTCTCGCTGCCGCATGCCTCGTCTACTTTGCCGATGAACACGCAGAGCTCGCGACGCAGCTGATTGCACAACGTGTGCTGGGCCATCGAAAGCAGTACCCGCTTCCTGTCGCCAGTGTCCACATTGTTCGGATGCTCGTGTCGCTGCTGCACTTGACCGACGCCACGACGTCCGCGGACGTGTCGCCGGTGCGTTGGCTTTGCGAAGTCTTTACGAAGCGCTGACGAGACTTGCTACAGGTGGTCGATTTTGACGTGGACGCGTGGTTCGCCCGATGTGATGGCAATGACGTCGACGGTGGTGGCAGCCCGATCGCCATTCCATCCGCCCTCGCACTCGTGCAGCAAGGTTTATGGCGGTACGTGCTTTGCACCATGGCGGTCACGCGAATGACTCGGACGGCTCTAGCTTGTTTGACGATCATGACGCATTCTACCGGCTCTTCGGGTGGAGCCTTCTTGTCTTTGATCGAAATTACACGCGGTCGGGGGCCACGTGCATGGATTTCAGCACCATCTTGGCCGAGACCCAACTGCAAGTGACTGCCCACTTGCAGCAGCACCCGGCATCGATTCCACATCTGTACCAACTCTGGGCCGACTCGCTCGAGTCCCAGGCGGTGGCGGCCCCCAGTACGTGCAAACACCAACGTATCATGCGCTCACAGTCGCGCGCGTATTTGTTCAGAAGCGAGTGCGCACATGCGAACGTATGTGGTGGTGTGGGAAGGCGGCGTCACTGTTCGAGGGTATCCGTCCAAGCAAGCCGACGTGATCGCGACGCGGGACGAGGGGGTACTCGTCGATAGCGGCAACTCCATTGCTTACAATCGACATGGCGCGTAGGATGTGGTGGACACGGTGCTCCAGGCAGGCAACTGGCTCAAGCTGAGGGACCTCCCCGGCGGTCAAGGGGGCGGCTGGGTCTTGAGCAAGACCGACCGCACCACGCTGCTGCAGTTGGTCGACCCCACTCAAGCGGTGTGAATGCATTCATATCGACGTTGCAAATACACTGTCGAGTGGATTCATGCCGGAGGGTGTGGCCTTGACGCACGGTCGGTAGAGGCGCGCATCGGCAGCCCGCGCACGAGTCAGCGGGCCAGTGTTGTTGGCGTCACATGGCAGCCCAACGACACTATGCCTCGTAGCCCATGATCGAGCAAACTGTCCTGCTACGATCATGATGTGGAGGATGCCGAGCACTCCATAGCATATGTACCTACTGACCGAGACACGTTGGAGCGATCCACCGCTGCAATCTGGATTCGTTTTCATGACGTGCAGCTATGGCGCAGGGCTAAGCGCCGCACGCAGGGCAGTGCAACATGGTTGTTGGCTATATTTAGGGTGGTTGCCAGTGGTGGACATGCCAACCGAGGCGCCGTCGATAGCGGTCGCGACCAACGTTATGGTGCCCGTGCAGCTGGCGCAGTTGGCTCTCCAGCGGCGCAACAGCGATGCGCTCGCTAAAATAGACCACTTCCTCGATTCGCTCGTGTCAACGTCGCCATCGAACGCCGCGCTGGTGGACGTGGCGTCGCAATCCCCACTGGCCAGCCCCGACAACCCAGCCGGAAGCCCCAAGAAGAAGCTCACGCTGGATGGAGCGACTCACGTCGACATGCACCACGAGCTTGGCATTGACATCCTCGTCAACGTGTTTTCGGAGTTTGAAGCGTCGGGCATGACGGGGTATTCATCCAAGACGCAGCGAGACGAAGAGAAAAAACAGTTGTGGCTGCTGCGGCAATCGCTGGCCAAGCAGCGCGCTGCCCCTGGCGCTGTGCAGTCTCCATCCAAACACGACCTTCTCAAGGACCGATACGGCGTCGGCAAACCGCTCCATGGGACCGTGGGGTCGCCGCCGACGCGCCGCGCGCTCTTTTCCAAGCAAAAGCAGCCGAGTTCGTTCAACTTGGGAGTTCTCATGGAAGTCGAGATGGAGCATCGATTGAAGGAGCTCTTCGCGGTCGCTTCCGGCTACAACACAACGATGAACACAGACCAAGTCCACAAGTTGAGCGGGTGCGTGGTCGATACCAACCAAAGCCTGACGGTCGGTGGCACGCCCGTCGAGCCTGCCGAGCGGGCACAGCGCGTACGCCATGCCGCACACGCCCTCCTCCACGTACGTTTGTTTCGTATCGTTGCAACTCGCTTCCACGGCCAGCGTGCTCTGTAGAAGGACGGCGACCTCACGTTTGGCAGCTTCAAAACCCGCTTCGTCCAGGTGCATATACGCTCGTGTCGATCTTTCGTTTCCGGACTCACTCGTTCGTGTGCAGCTCAACCCTCGACGTAGCATCGTGCACACGCAGCAAGTCGCGTGGGTCGACAGCATCTACCAAGCCATCGTGAATCCATCGTCGTGTCGGGCGCTGGCGACCAACGGCTCCAAGAGTCCACAGCGACCGCACGAACGACCCCCTGTCCAATCCATCGTCCCAAGGGCCGTCCCCAGCACGACGACGGTTCCAGCCGCCCATTCGTCCCCTACGAAACCCGCTCCGACATCGCCCAGGCCCTCGAAACAACACGTTGATGCGGAAGAGGACAAGCAGTGGATGGCCCACGCCGCGCGCGAGGTCGTCACGCCGATGGTGGATCCGTCAGTCCCTACTGCGCAAGACTCGGCCACCGGTCAGAAACTCTTGCAACACGACTTGTCCGGGGACGCCCTCGACGCACTCGGCCAGTCGATCCAGCAGTCGTCGCCCGTCCGGCGACGAGCGAAGCGCGATAGCGTTGACCTGTCCAAGGAAATGGGCGCCATGCCTCGGCGGAAGAAGCGCGACAGTGTCGACCTCACCCATGCAAAGCGGGAAAAGGAGCGCCCGCCAGCCATCGTGTACGACAACAAGGGACAGGCCCCCAACATCCGCCAGAAGCTCCACGAGTGCAAAGTCATGATGTTGTCGCTGTCCAACCTAAATTTTGGCAAAAAGTGAACAAAGGGGGTTGGCGGTCACTGAAGTTGTAGTCGAGGTGCCCCGTGATTTGTGTAGACGCCATGGCGGCCCATGCACGACCCCTTTCGGGACATCATGTCGTGCCGCGACGGCGGCTGTGCCAACCCACCGACACGCCGCTTTGGACACGGGGCTCACGTAAGGAACAGCATGGCACAAGAGATGGGTGCGCACCTTCCCAACACCATTTCAGCAAGGGGTCGAGTGCAGTAAACGAAATCGCGCCTGCTGTGTCGATTCTTGTCGTGCAGCTTCACCCGCGGGAATGCCACTGCGGACGGATGCCGCCCTCGGAACGCGTCGTTTTGTCCATGAATCGATGGAGCGAACGATAGGTGTATGGAAGCGCACGTCATCCTAGCCGCATACGTAACAATCCCATAGCTGTGAGCAAGCTGCATGAGGCTTTTTCATTTTGGCTGGGCTCGACAACAGGCTTGTCAGGTGTGTGGGTGCCGTGCACCTACTACTGTGCCGTGCACCTACTACGTGTGGCGGCACCGTCCATCATTCCAAGGGAATATTCTGGTGGAGTTGGCCCATTTTGATTGGTTGCTCGAACCGATGCAACGATTCGGATTGGATGATTCTCGATCCAACGACCCAATCAAAACCATCGACCCCTCCAACACCGTTCAGATGGCATCGGCGGCATTCCGCAGTCTGCCGCCGCCATGAAGTTCCGCCCGTGCATTGATATTCACGCGGGAGTGGTCAAGCAAATCGTGGGTTCGACGCTATCTGACGACAAGGATGCTGCTGGTCCCGTGACGAACTTTGTCTCGAAGTTGCGCTCGGCCGACTATGCAGCGTATGCACATGAGTCGAGCCGTGCAGGTACTGATGATGGTCGAACCAGGATGTACAAGCGCGATGGATTGACGGGGGGGCATATCATCATGCTTGGAGCGAGCGAAGCGAATGAAAAGGCGGCTGTTGAGGCGTTGGAAGCGTTTCCCAACGGCATGCAGATTGGAGGTGCCCACCGACTGCTGCGTTATGTGTCACGTGGGCATTGACAGGAGGAATCACGACCGCGAATTGCCGCTACTATCTCGACCGCGGGGCTAGCCACGTGATCGTGACGTCCTATGTGTTCCGCGACGGAGCCATTGACATGGGTCGACTCCACGAACTTCGTGACGCCGCGGGGAAGGACCGATTGGTACGTTAGCTCTTTGTTCGGCCATCGTCCACCTCCGCCGCGTGTAGGTACTCGACCTAAGCTGCCGAAAGAAGGACGACGGGTTGTACTACATCATGACAGATCGATGGCAAGTGTTCTCGCACGTCACACTCTCGTACGTGGGCGACTTCGACACGATTGTGCAGCACCAAACTTGTCCACGTCTAGAGCGTCGCTGCTGTCCGAGCTCGCGGACTATTGCGACGAATTTCTCGTGCATGCGGTCGACGTCGAAGGAAAGCGATGTGGAATCCAGGTATGGGTCGTCCACTTTGTCGACATGCTGGGTTCAGTGGCATTGGTTTTGACCCTTACAAACTTTGTTGCAATCAGGAATTATTACATACATTATGGGAATATATCCTAAAACTTTTTTTAGGAAGACTTGGTCACGAACCTCGCGCTATGGTCGCCGATTCCTGTCACGTACGCCGGTGGTGCGTCAACTCTTGTACGTGGACGATTCAGTCGAGCTGAATGTGATACCTGACGTCGATGGACGGTTGATCGTGTGGAATGGAACGGGTAGGATGACATGAGTCTGGTCGAGCGCATTGGGCAGGGCAAAGTGGATCTGTCCATTGGGAGCGCTCTCGATATTTTTGGCGGATCGCTGTCGTACGATGCCCTCGTTGCGTACACCCAGACGCCGTCGAGCACGACCCACGCGTGAAGGACCACAAGTCAAGGATGTGATCGGACAAGCCTATTGCGATCCAGCTGAGCATTGCTAGTACCAACAGTGCTTTGAACCATGGCTCATCTTGCTCCTCTGCAACGAAATAATGATCGTCATACATTGGTGAAGCAGATATCGCGGCACTCAAGCAATGAGCGCGTTCAGGTGCGCGATGCTCTGCCATGCATCGGCACACACAGTCATGTTGTCTTCCTCCCTTTGCTTGGCATGAACTACCATCTGGTCGGAGAGTTATTTTATCCAATCAGAATAGATTAAAAGGATTTCGCCAATCAGCGGTGTATTTCGACACTGTTTAGAAATTTGGAGCATGTTGACAAAACATTTATGTGTTTGTAGCTCGAATCATCATCACAGGGTGTTTCAACACGTCCAGCAGCACTCAAGAAAGGATTGTTGGGGTAGCGCGGTTGCGAAGATGACAAAACATGTTCGCGATATGTATATGCGAGAACTCTGGTCAAACTAGGTGATATTGCTGTTGGGTGTTTCTCAGGATCGTCCAACGAGTGGAAATTTTCTCGGGGTTTCGGGGTTGCTGGGGGGCGCTGAAATTCTGGAGAGGATGAACCTCCCGGGACTTACAACCGAGAATTTTATGCACATTGGATTTTATGCCACTCATGCCGCGATCGTAGATTTGGAATAAAACCCCCTCTCAAACGTTCAACTCGGACGACTGTGAGAAATATTTCCACTCGTTGGATACAGTATACGAAAAAAATATACGCGCACTAATTTTGACAACTTTAACTACTGTGTCTGCATGTGACCTACATAAAATCTAATTTACTTGCCTACGAAGGTAGCTTACTGTGTGCAAATGAGACAAAAACTAAACTAAACAAACCAAAAAATGTCGAAAATAGAAAATTCGCAATTTTTTACCGAAAAAATTATTCGCGC